CTTTGCCATTGAAAAAGTACGACCCGACAATCTGGCCGTGCACAATACCAGCCCATAATAACACCATGGGACTACAAAGCGATTTTGATCCAACAAAGTGTCTTGGGTTTTCAATAGCCCAACGAATAGAGCTAGTTACATTTGATCGAATCCGAACATCGTATCAGAATGAGTCGGTCAGTCAGGCCCATTCCACACACGATCACCGGGGCGAGATCGAAGCGGGTGAAGAGTCGCTTACTGTCTCCACAATCGAGGCGATCGCGACTCGGTTGAACCATCCCATCCTTGTTCGTTCAAAAAAAAAGTCATTCAGAGCTCTGGATTTACCATGACGCTAGAGCGACAGAACCGATTATGAACTAAGTGTCAAACGATTTATGTATCTCATACATTTTACAGTACAAATGGTTTTTGCAGAATTAATTGAATTCTCATACACTCCTTACTGTATTGTTCATAGTATCCAGATACGCGCACAGCAGCAACACGGACAGTATCTACATTTTTTCAGGATCATTGGCACTTACAAGCCTGTGTGAATGGTTGAACGCTAATTGCAACAATACCTCTTAGAGCACTGGCGAAATCAGACAGGTCACTGGCCAAGGGTAATCGCAACCAGGGTCTAACGCACCCATTTACCGTTGTGTTTGAGTGATGTACCTCCACTTGGGATAACGGCAATTTAGTGTGGTTTATAGAAACAGACGGTAATTACACTGGCTGTTAATATGGCTTGCTCACGTACTCGTCTGTAGATCGACGGTCGTTTAGTGTTGATTGCGATGTACTGCGGGAACAAGGAAAACGTTTCACTGACGGTTAAGGAATTCAACAACACTTGTGCAACGGGGGTAACCAGAAATGGTGCCAAACCGATGATTAAAAAATTCAAATCTATGGAAACGCAAGGGACATCAACGAATAAAGACGGATGAACGTGGTATATGCATCGTTTGACAAAGTGTATATCGAAATCCTCAGACGACCACAAGACGCATTGCCCAGGAATGCAACATGTCAGTATTCCGTGCTCAAGGTATTAAAGGAAAACAAATTTCGTCCCTTCAAACAGGCTCGGCCACAAGGACTTCGTGCCAATGATCCTGAGTGCCGACTAGAATTGCGCACGCGACACACTTGGACGTGTGGCAAATGATTTTCACGGATGCAGCCATTTTCTCGTGAACAGAAATGTGACAGGCTCTATTCGTTGGGCTATTGAAAACCCAAGACACTTTGTTGGACCAAAATCGCTTTGTAGTCCCATGGTGTTATTATGGGTTGGTATTGTGCACGGCCAGATTGTCGGGTCGTACTTTTTCAATGGCAAAGCAACAATTGAGAACAATTTTGCTTATTAAATTGTCCAAGGCGCTTCATGCTTGCAAATATTACAAGATAATGTGATACCTGCCATCCGACGTATAGAAACTGAAGTTGGTACTAACGTCTGGTTCAAAAATGACGATGCACCGCCACACAATGCTCTGGTGGTGAGAAGTTTCCTCGACTTGGAAAAATTAGAGAGAATTTTGCGTGAGCCTACATTAGGAGATATTTTTGTCCGCTATCAAGATAAGTTGAAAGTTTTATTGTGATTATCTGTTTACCAAACCCGCTTGGAAAAATATTACGTGTATCTTAGGCGAGTCGAGCGTTGACCCAGTGTCATCACTGCTTGAGCATCTTCCATTCAGAATTTCCCACATGGCGCACCGCTCCACAACTGATTCTCTACCAACACGTGGGCAGCAACGGATTAGAACTTATCCTCCTCCTGTGCCGGTCCGAAAATCACACGACCGATCGGGTTCATTTATTGATCGATCGGATAATTCAGCCTCAACAAGGGACCTGGTACTTGTCCAGCTAACCCGAGCGGGAAACCACACCTTGTTTATAGCTCTAAGTCTCAGGCAGGCCCAGTGAACTTCCACTATGCAGCAAGAGTGTCACCAGCACATGGATGGACTGGACGTAACAACAAGAGCATTACAAAACGTACCAGCCGGTAATCAGACAGTCTTGTGTTCGGGTGGGGGATTCCAAGTGCCGCAGATCGCGGAATATGACCCAATCAGATCACAGAAAGGGTCAGAAGGAATTTACTTGTTTAAGGTCATGGGTGAGAGGAACGAGACGATGTAAACAATGGAGCAATCGAAGTGTACACTTGATAGACAGAACGAGGGGAGGGACTAGTTTGATTAAATGAAGCCATTTGTATTTCCGTACGTACGAGAGCCGCACCGAGCAGCGCATTTCTTTTACTCCAGACTACTTAGCCCAGAGATATAGCGAACCAGATTGCAGATTTTGCAATGAAATGGAATTTAGGTGAAACTACTTATTCCACTAAGCGGTTTGCACTAAGGAGTCTACCAGTCCTGGTCCTCACATTCTGGTCACGTAGTGAACGGTTCTACCTGGTCTGCGTGTCGCAAATCTGGTGGCACAAGAAATACGTTTTTGCCGTCAAATCGTCCATATTCCACTATGTATAAGCAATACTGATTGGGACTGACAAATTAGTTTTATTTGAATTTTTAGCACAACTGCCAAAGCATAAATCACACTCAGCATTGAAACCATGAGCACTAAATCAATGGTTGAGCATTTTCCTTCAGACTGATCGCTTACATGTACGACTCTTTTGGAGGTGAGACAATAACCAATCAAAACAAGTTGTTGATCCGTTTTCCTCTTGTTTCTCGCCATTCCACTCTCCCCCCTCTCTGCAACCTCTTCCTTTGTCTCGAACCCGACGTTCGGCAGCCCGGCAGCACAAAACCCCACAAACAAACCCAACACATTCCGTGAACAGAGTCAGAGTGCTACTAAAGTCATTCCCCCGTGGGCAGTGGATGTGCCTGAAACGCGACGAACCCACTTTGCCTCGACTCCTCACATCCACCAGGCCAGTAACGGTAGATCGGAAATACGCACCCGTGCCCCGTTGATCTCACTGTATCGGGGTGAAGCGCCACAACGTTCGAAAAGTCAGAACGAGATCAATCGAGCATCTAGACCACCGCACGGTGGGGGTCTGTTCCAAGTGCACACAAGCACCAGACGTGCCCCATACTACGTGATTCATCCCGAGTGGTTGAGCGAAGCAATGACTATCAGGCAACTTGAGCTCTCGCCACGTCCCAGTGCCCCGACCAGCCTAATCGGACTGCCCAATTCGAGGAAAACATTGGAGGCGCGATCCAATTGGTCCAATCAATCGAAGCAGTTGAATCCCACAAACCCTCACAGTGAATCCAAGTCGGCTCCGGTCACCCGGTGTCGTAGTATGCCCAGTAAACCGTTGAACCCCATCACCTGGGAGCCCTGATCCGAGACAGCATCACACACACACACATATAATACCACTACTTCCAAAAACAAACGAAACAATTAAGTGTTAGTAATGTGAAAAATTGTAATGCATTTAAAGACAGATCATACATGTTGATTGAAAACATATGAGAGAAATGAGATGAAAATCGAGCAGTTATTTCAAAGGTTGTTGAATGATGCGCTGGGACGGGTCCGCGTGTGGTTTCGAAACCGTCGGTTGCGGTTTGAATTGTTGCACTTTGACCGTTTTGTCGTGGAATTCTCGTTCCTCCTGTGGAATGAGAAAACCGGGGTAGGCAGAAGCATAATCACGATTGATGAAGCAAAAGAACATTAAAGGCATTGTGACAGGGACGCCCATGTGTGCTTACTACCAGTGCATTAAACCACAAACCGACGGTGTATGGTCATTGTGTCCAATCGTTTTGGCGGGTTTGATAATCTGATATAATGGCATTGTGCACTGTTTTTCAACGTGGTCAGAAATCAAATGGGAGATCAATCATCCAACGACCTCGAGGGCAAAACACCGAAAAGACGGAAACTACGTTTGCAAACATTCACGCGTCCACCTGACGCAGCACGTTACACTCTACTAATAGGAGCAGAATATGGTTTAACTAGGGAACAGACTGGGCTATGCCTAAATGACGAAAGTACTTTGAAGCTTTTCTTCCTAATGACGTTGTCGAATCAACATTGATGCGTGGTGAGTGTGAGTACGTGGGAGTAGCTATTATCCTCCATGTATCATTTGTCGAAAATCATCTCTCCATCCTTAGAGTGATGTTCACCAAGAACTCCTCTGGGATATTTCAAATCATTTGCACACGGTCTAGAGTATGTTAAATCATTTGCAGGCCTTCAAAAACCTCAGTATGGTCGGGGTGGATGTCTAGGGTTGTATCAGGTCACCCTTCCTTTGCACCTTGCGAAACGATTGCATACGGCTAAGCGTCTTCTGGTTGTGAAAGTGGTCACCAGTTCGATTGGGTATATATATACGCCAAACAAATCATGGTACAGGAATCTTTATAAAAAGAGAAACGTTCCACCATTTGCATATGGGCTAGGTTGCCCAGGCCAAAGCGGCTGTTCCTTTTTAGGAATCTACAACCGGAGTCTTCGACTAGCCAAAGCCTGACCCGCAAGGCAGCGATGCGGTGGGTGGAAACCGCAATCAATTACGGGGGGGGCCGATGTCCACCAGCTCATCGAATCACACGCCCTTCGGACAGGGGCAAAAGGTTGAAAGTGGTCAATACACACCTCGATGCCCAAAAGAGCCGGTGACCATTGCCACAACCAGGAAGTTGTGTGGTTCGTACGGTTCCTCTTGGTTGATTTGGAACCAGGGCTTTTGGCTAACTCCCCTAGGTGAACTACCAGTGGTCCACCAACCCGGTTATAGCCCTCGGATATCGGCTTTTCGTCCGCTCACTTTGGTGAGAAAAACACCACCATGAGAAGGCAATGAGTAGGGCTTCCTCAGCAGCGGCTATTTAAGATGCCTCGTCGTATAAGAGCATTTCACGAGGTGCAACGGTTGATCAGTCATAACCCTAGACACCCATCCCCGACCATAGGGAGGGAGGGGGCATTTGCACTATTAAATCTTTCGAATCTCGGCCACTTAAACCGCCTTTCTACAAAATTGACTTGATTTTACATTCTCATTTACCTTATCTCACGAATTGATTTTAGTAACATCTTGACTTTGTCCACATCCTGGACTTATCACGTGTTTGTATCCGTTATACCTGTCATACGAGGACAGATTGCGATCATTGGGACTATATTCCGCTCAGTATCGCCGAACTCGAGGAAACTTGATTTTGACGTATCAAATACTGAAGAACCCAAACCATCCGTGTCGATCGCTTCTCATGTTATCGAACAATGTACACCTAAGGGGACACCGTTTCAAACTACTGATTCCAAAGTCTCG